ATCCATGGGGTGGACCCCAAAGGATCTGGGAAACCCAGTTCGATAACCACTGGTGTTTCCCTAACCTCAGGCAAGCCAATCTCCCTCTCCCTTTGGCCGTATCTGACATGCACGCTGACTGAGCGGCGAGTGATGGTTAGTAAAGAGCACCCAGTGTGGTGGGTGTCCGACAGTGCGTGGGGACAATGACTATGGGGTCATTTGCCAACGTGGGCAGAGGCCTGGTGCCCCCTGAGGCCATCCTGGGCCATTGCAGCAAGGGCTGGGAGAGGAGAGGAGTGGCTTCGACCTGCTGAGCGGGCCCATCAATTATTGACACCTTTGTGTGGGGCATGAAGAATTCATGTGGTGGGGGCTGGGGGGAGGTGCCTGTGGACTAGTGGCGTGCCGGTGCTGCCTCACCCCAGCTCACAAGACCCACTTGCTGTATTTTCAGGAGTTTTGCCATTTAATAATTTTGTCATTATTTAAAACGACAGACTAGGAACTTAGAGTTAAACACATTATATTTGAAGCAAAGGTGTGGAATATTATTCAGTCATAAAAAGGAGTGAAGCACTGGCACTTGCTATGGCCACGGACCTTGAGACCGTGAAGCTCAGGGAGAGAAGCCAGACATAGAAGGCCACCCCGTGTGTGATTCCTGGTGTGTGACATGCCCAGAACAGGCACATCCACAGAGACAGGGAGTGGGCTAGTGGTTGCCTGGGGCTGGAAGAAGAGGGCAATGGGGGTGACTCCCAGGAATAGTGGGAGTTGGAGTGTCCAGAATGGGCATGAGGGCAAAGGTTGGAGTCCAAAACACGAAATGGGGTTGGCAGAGGATGGAAGTCCCAGATGTGGACCGGGCTCCAGCATTCTGGGGAAGAATGTGGGGGCAGGCCAGGGGTCGACAGAGCCCCTCGGTGTCTGGACACCCATTTCACAGATGGGAAAGCTGCCCCGGAGCATGGGGCTTGTCTGGGGCCACTGTGGGAGGATATGGACGGTGGCCTGTGAGGCGTGGCGTGTGGGCCTACGGCCCTCCTCCTGTTTCTGCAGCACACGGGTGTGGTCCTGCCCCGGGGCCTTGGTCCAGGCTCTTCCCCTTGCCAGGTTCAACCTCTCCCCAGACCTTGTCCTTGCAGCCTCAGCTCCAGGGGCTCCGCCTCAGAGAAGCCTTCCTGACCCTGCAAGCCCAAGTCACTTGCCTGTTCCTGGCTGTCACTCCCCTCCCTGCCCCCATGGCCCTTGTCTCCCCTGAAATTATTCTGTTTATTTCCATGTTCTTTGGTTTCTGGCACCTCCTTCCAGTATGAGCAACATTTCTTAGGGGGCTGCCTTGGAAATTTGGAGAGATGCTATTTTTCGTCTGAAGTAGAAAGGTGTCCTGGTGTTTGAGGGCAGGGACCAGGGTGCTAGGGGTCCGGCCACACGCAGGGCAGCCCTGGGTCTCCCCGCTTCCTACTGTCCCGCAAAAACACAAGCTGATGTGTGGGGTTTTTTTTCCTGCACCGTTTTCATATTCAGTGACTATTCCTGAGTGAATCAAAGGGAGACAGAGCTCCTTTTTGATAGAGTTTTATAGCTATATGTTCACCATATGGGCAGACCTCTGACAGAATCACTTCATCTGTAAGGGCAGTGAGCTTGAGCTTTTGAGGGAAATTCTTCTTAATTAAGCACGTCTTGAGTACCGACTGAGGGCCTGTCCATGTGGAAGTGATTTCTAAATCTCACGTTGTGGAATTCTTTTATTTTCTGTTTATATTACAATTTGGACCAAGTCCTGTTTTTAACATTTTAAATTCATTTAACATTATAAAAATGAGGTATAAAAGATATATAGTAAGGAGCACAGAGGTGTAAATATATACACTTAATTTTTGTATTTTTTTTGAGAGAGACATGGATTTGTTGTCCCACTTAGTTATGCAGTCATTGGGTGATTCTCCTATGTGCCCTGATCAGGGATCAAACCCTCAACTTTGGTGTATCTGGATGATGAACTAACCAACTGAGCCACCCCACCAGGGCTACACTTAATATTAATAGTAACTCTGGGCTGGTGTGGCTCAGTTGGTTGGAGAGTCATCTCATACACCAAAAAGTTGGGGGTTTGATTCCCAGTCAGGGCACATACCTAGGTTGTCCATTTCTCTTTCCCTCCCTTCCTCTCTCTCTAAAATCAATAAACATATTTCAAAAAAAATAGTTTTAAAAAGTAATGCCCTGGCTGGTGTAGCTCAGTGGACTGAGCGTGGGCCTGCAAACCAAAGGGTTGCCAGTTTGATTCCCAGTCAGGACCCATGCCTGGGTTGCAGGCCAGGTCCCCAGTAAGGGGGTGCATGAGAGGCAACCACACACTGATGTTTCTCTCCCTCTCTTTCTCTTTTCCTTCCCTTCTTTCTAAAAATAAATAAATAAAATCTTTTTTTAAAAACAGTAAGTTCCACTTGATAAGATATAAACTCACTATTTTAAAGTATTCAAATTCCAGAACATTCCAGCACCCCAAAGAGAAGCCCAGTCCCTATCAGCAGTCACTGCTCTTGCCCCTCCCCCAGCCCCTGGCAACCTACTTCCTGTGTCCGTGGCCGTGCCTGTCCTAGACGTTTCATGTAAATGGAATCCCACACTGTGTGGTCTTTTGTGTCTGGCTTCTCTCACTGAGCGACATGTGTTGAGGGTCCATCAGTGTGGTGAGTGCCAGAGCTTCACTCCTTTTCCCAGCCGAGCAATATCCCAGTGTGTGGCTGGACCCCATTTTGTTTACTCATCTGTGGGTGGCCATCGGGGTTGTTTCCACTTCCTGGCCGTGAGCCGTGCTGCTGTAAACGTGTGTGCGTGAGGTTTTGGTGGATGTGTGTTTTCATTTCTTTCGGGTGGATGTTTATGAGTGGAATTGCTGGGCCACGTGGTAACTCTGAGGAGCTGCCAGAAACGGCTGCACCGTTTTCCATCCCTCCTCCCGCCATGTATGAGGGTCCAGGTTCTCCGCATCCCCGCCAGCGCTCGGCAGGGCCTGTGTTTTTGATAGGAGCTGTTCTCGTGGGGGTGAGGCGATGGATCACTATGATTCTGACTTGCATTTCATTGGGGGCCAATGATGTGGACCATCTTTTAGCTGCTTGTTGGCCATTTGTATACCTTCTTTGGAGAACGTTGGGGCCCCAGTGCTGGGGCCCCCAAACTATTCCGTGATGAGGAGGCATGGGATCTAGAGGCGGGGATCCCCAGGAAAGCAGGGACCGATCTCCTGTGGCCATGGCTGGTCCCCAGTGCCTGGGACATGACTGGCAGTTCATAAATGCTCATTGAGCAGCTGAGTGAATGCCCTGGCAGAGCCTAGATGAATCTTGAGTGGGCCTTTTTCGGTTGTAATGACAGGGGGCTTTCTGGCATTTCGGGGGCAGAGGCCAGGGACACTAGCTGTCTGGCCCCCAAGCCTCTGGGCATTTCCTGGGGAGGTCTTGACACAGAAGGGCCGGTGAGGTGCAGCCTAGCCACCTCCTGGCTTATTCGCCCTCGGCCCTGAGCGAGCACGGCAGGCAGGAAGGAAGGCCGGGGTTTATTTTGGTCCATGGCCCGCTCCCCCGGGATAGCAGTCATCCCTCTGGCTGCTTGAATGGGGGTGTTTCTGGAAGAACAATGGGTCAGGGAGGAGTGGAGGGCACACAGCTGGGCTGACCCAGGTGCGGCAGGTCTGGAGACTGGTGGGGGGGGGCTAGGAGTGTGGAGGTGGGGAAAGGAGTCTGCAGCTGCCTCCACTCCCAGCTCTGTTCCTGCTGGGCTTGGAGACGGGGTTGCTGCTGGGGGCCCAGCCCCTTCCCAAAGCCTGTAAATAGGCCCAGCTCCCCTCGAGAACCAACACGCTCAACCTCAGGACCTTTGAGGGAAAGGACCTGCCTCGGCTCACACAGCAACCAAGACAGTCAGAAGGGGCTGGGCTCCAGGGCCCTTGGGGTCCAGAGGCCTGGCCCTCACCCCTGGACTCGGAGAAAGCTCCTCTCTGAACCTCAGTTTGCCCATCTGTAACCTGGGGAGACTGGACCCAGGGCCTGGGGGTAGCCTCTCATGTCCAGCGTTTGCCCACATCCTTCCCCTGACACGTTCAACAAACACCGTGGGCCACTTGCTGTGCGCCAGGCCCTGGGCTGGGAGACACAGCCCCTAAACGTGCCACTGGGCCAGGGAGGTGGACGTGGAGACCAAGGTGCTCGAGGCCACAGAGGAGGACGCCCAGGGCGCCGTGGGAGCCAGGAGCACCTGGCCCAGGTTGGGACTTCTGGGAAGGCTTCCAGGACTAGGTGGTGGTGACGCTGAGACTTGAAGGATGAGCAGGAGTTTGTAGGATGAGTTTGGGAGGAGGGGTCCAGGTAAAGGGAGTGGGATAGAATGTTCTAGAGAACTGGCGGGAGAGAGTTCAGGAGGCGTAGGTAGTTGTGCCAAGTGGGGAGCCTGATGCCGCCGCTGCTCACAGAGGCCTCTACACCAGGCTGCTGGATGCTGAGACCTTAAATGGCAGAGTCCCAGGTGGTGGTGCCCAGGGGAGAGTCACAGCCTGGTGGGCATTGGGTTGGCCACAAGCTTCTGCCCTAGGGCAGAGTTCTGATCTTCCCCATTTTACAAGTGGGGAAACCGAGGCATGGGGCAGTGATGTTTCTGGACCCAGTGGTCAAAGCCAGAGTAAGGCCTGAATATTGGAGTTGGTCTTGTCATGGGGGGCAGCCCCCAGTCCTCTAAGACTCAGGGTGACTTGCAGGTGTCAGCTGGGGAAGGTGAGGGGTTAGAGGTGCAGAGGCATCGGGGGCAGGCAGTTACTGTCTTCTTGTGTGGCCTCAGGGAAGTGGCTTGGCCTCGCTCTGTTTTCTTCTGCAAAACAGGCAACCTGCCCAATACCTGGTGGGAGTGACAAAATGGGCTCATGCTGCCAGCTCTGGGCTTGCCACGTGATGCTGAGTCAGCAGGGCCCCAGCTCTGGCCCCGGCCGTGGCCTTTGTGGCCCTGAGGTCCGGTGGCTGGTGTAGGGGGCAGGGACGGCTGCTCCAGTAATCCCTGGGCCCGCCCCGGCCTCCAACATGGCGGCTGAGGGTTGGGACTGCTTCCAGGGTCTGTGCTCCCACAAAGATGGGCTTTGTGGGAGCCTCTGGGGGTGAGTGGGAGCCCACATGACATTCCTGGTCTGGCTGTCCTGGGGCCACGGCAGGGGTGGATTCTGACCAGGGCCTGGGCAGCGGGGGAGGGCTGGGGGTGGGTCTGAGGCTCCCCTGATTCATTCCACAGATGTTTCTGGAGTCTCCAAGGATACAGTGGAGAAGGAATCAGGCATCAGGCCCAGGGCCTCTGCTGTGGCCTGGGGTGAGGCAGGCAGCGGGGAAGCAAAGCCAGGGGGAGCAGAGCAGTGATGGGGGCGGTGCTTGGGGTGCTGTGTGGCCCAGAAGAGGTGCCTCCCCAACAGTTTGACGGTTCAAGGATGGCTTTCTGGAAGAGGCAGTGTCCAGGCTAAGCGGAAGGATAAATCTGCAAGAAGAGGCAGAAGCCTGGGGGCCAGGGCATTGGGGGATGTATGTGAGTCCACCAGGAAAGGGGCAGGGCCTGAGGGGTTTTGGGGGATGTAAAGGAGTTCGCCAGGGAAGAGGCGAGGGCTTGGGGAGATGGTGGGAGCAAACAAAGCGGCCTGACCGGGCAAGCCCCGTGTGGCCCAGGGCATGGGAACTGATGCCGGGTCTGTCTTTCCCCTGGGCAGGGCTGATGGACACCTTCAGCACCAAGAGCCTGGCTCTGCAGGCCCAGAAAAAGCTCCTGAGCAAAGTGGCGACCAAGGCGACAGTGGCTGTGTTCATCGACGACACGAGCAGCGAGGTGCTAGACGAGCTGTACCGTGCCACCAAGGAGTTCACTCGCAGCCGCAAGGAGGCTCAGAAGGTGCTCAAGAACCTGGTCAAGGTGGCCGTGAAGCTGAGCATCCTGCTCCGCAGTGGCCAGCTGGGCGGGGAGGAGCTGGCGCTCCTCCAGCGCTTCCGCCAGAGGGCGCGCTGCCTGGCCATGACGGCCATCAGTTTCCACCAGGTGGACTTCACCTTTGACAGACGTGTGCTGGCCACCGCCCTGCTCGAGTGCCGGGACTTGCTGCACCAGGCCGTGGGCCCACACCTGACCGCTAAGTCCCACGGCCGCATCAACCATGTCTTCAGCCACTTTGCCAACTGCGACTTCCTGGCCGCGCTCTACGGCCCAGCTGAGCCCTACTGCTCCCACCTGCGCCGCATCTGTGACGGGCTCATCAGGATGCTGGACGAGGACAACATATGACCGCTGTCCACAGTTTTCCTGCTGGGGGTGGGGATTCGTGAGGTTTTTTTTGTTTTAAATGACCTCTTTTTACCCCTGGTGTGATTCTAGCCAAACTCCCTGGACAGATGACCGGTCCTCTTTCTGAAGATGCTTAACCGTTCACAGCAGCAGCTTTCAGGACCCTCGTCACCTGACCCTGCTGGGAGAGGGGCTCAGCGTGGCAGCCGGCACAGTCCCCAGGCTGGCAGCCTACCCCGCACCTCGAGCCTGCTCGGGTCCCCTGTCCTGAGCGGCAACAACTGGATGGTGCCCCTCAGACCACTGGGTGCTCTCTGAAAGCCGATACTGCTCACTTCATGTTGTAGCCTGGGCTTTTTAATTCCTTCAGAAAGGACTCATCCTGCCCTGGCTGGTGTGGCTCAGTTGCGGGTTTGATTCCTGGTGCAGGCACATACCAAGGTTGCAGGTTCAATTTTCCGTCTGGGTGTGTACAGTCCCATCCAGATGCTTAGGAGAGGCAATCAATCGATGTTTCTCTCTCACATCGATATCTCTGTCTCCCCCTTTCTAAAAGCAATGGGAAAAGTGTGAGTCATACTGAACTGGGAGAAAGGAAGTGTTATGGGGTGAGCAGGACTGCCCCCTCATTCCTTTGTTGAAGTCCTGACCCTCTGTGACCCAGATCTGGCAGTAGGGTCGTGGCTGACGTGACTGGTGAGATGTGATCACAGTGGAACACAGCAGGCCCCTGCCCAGCGTGACTGGGGCCCTTGCAAATGGGAGAAATGTGGACACAGGAGGAATGTCATGGGAAGAAAGAGGCAGAAATCAGAGGGATGTGCTACAAACCAGGGGACCCCAAGGATCACCAGCATCCCCGGCAGCTGGGACGGAGGCCGGGAACAGCCCTCAGAAGGAACCGGCCTGGCCAGCACCGAGAGGGAGCAAGGCTCTTGCTTCAGCCGCCTGGCCCAGGGAGCCATGGGCAGGGTTGCGCTGGGTGCCGGTGTACCGGTGAGGACACCTTGATGTGCCTGCACCCCCAGCTCTGACTCCCGAGTGGGCAGGGACTGAGTGCACCCCATATACAGGATGCGAAGGTAAAGCCATCTGAGGTGCGGGCAGTGTTTCCAACGATCACGTCATGTTTGGAAAACAGATACACTGACACACACACTTTTCAGACCTCAGAAGGCAGAGCTCACCAAATCGTGGCTTTGGGGACACCCAAAAGATACAGTGATTTTCCACTCGGGCCGTGGATGGACATGTAGGGTGTGGCAGGGTATTTGCAGGTTTTGTCAGAAGGGGAGAATGGGTGCAGAACAGGGCTGCGGGGCCGTTCGGGTCAGCTTTGGGAAGGGTTCTCCTGGGCGCCCAAGCAGGAGGAGGAATGGTGTCCAGTGACTGTTTTACAGAACTGGATCTGGTCCGTTCAGGGAGAGGGTTGCAAACAGGAGGCCTTATTAGGCTAGAACTTGGGTTTGCTTGCCCCATTCAAGGTTTGAGCCAAATGGAATCAGCTGACAACACTTAAAAGTGGAGAACTGCACATACCAATCTGGATTTGGAATTTCTCTCAACAACTCGGCTAAGCCTGCATCGCCTGCTGGTGAAGCTGTATAGAGGTTGCCCCTCTGCTTTGTCACAGTCCCCACCACTCCCTTTTGCCTCACCCTGGCCTGTTGCACTAGTTAAGATTATGACCTCAGATTCAAGTTAGCCTTTCTGTGAGTTGGTTTCTGCTTCCCTGAAGAAGCCAAAGCCTTTTCGCCCGAGAGCCAGCAGTTCCTGCCTCCCACTCCACCATTCTAAGGCCAGCCTTTCCCTCTTATCTGTCCAGTCCGGAGGTAGCTCTTCATATTCAAGAGGGAAGGTGCATTTTGAGTATCCTGAGAAGCCCTAGATGATTTTTTTCCCCAGATTTTATTTATTTACTTTTAAAGAGAGGGGAAGGGAGGGAGAAAGGGAGAGAAACATCGATTGGTTGCCTCTCACACACCGTCAACTGGGGACCTGCCCCACAACACAGGCCTGTGCCCTGACTGGGATTCAGACCAGTGACCTTTAGGTTTCCAAGACACTGTCCAACCCACTGAGCCAAACCAGTCAGGGCCCAGATGAAATTCTTTGCCCTCGGTTCCGCTGACTGAGTTTATCAACATGCATAATAATGCTTGTACTTGTTCCTTGCTGGGTTGTTCATCTTGACTCTTCATAAATTTGGGATTTAATTTTGGAAAACCAAACAGCACTGCAGAAAAATTTAAATAAAAGCACATGTCTTCCATTGGCCGTATGTGAAAATGGCTTGAATTGCTCAGTGCTGAGTTTTCTCCTCTTGGGGTTTTTGCCTTTTAAAAAACAATTTTAAAAATTTCGATTACAGTTGACATACAATACTGTATTACTTTCAGGTGTACTGCATAGCAGTTAGAGATTTATGTGACTTGTGAAGTGATCACTCTGACAAGTCCCGTCCCTGCCTGACACCACCCCCGGTCACCGCAGGGTTATGGCCGTGCTCCCTGTGCTGCGGTTTACGTCCCGGGCCTGCTGGTAACTGTGTTCGCCTCTCCCTCCCATCGGGAAGCTATCAGTTCGTTCTCCGTATCTACGTTCATTTTGGTTTTTAGACCCCACCTGTAAGTCATATAGTACTTGTCTTTTACTGTCTAAATTATTTCGCTTAGCATAATTCCCCTCTTGGTCCATCCATGGTGTTGTAAATGGTAAGATTTCATTCTTTTTTATTCCATCTCAAATGTCTATCACATCTTTATCCACTCATCTCTCGACGGACACTTAGGCTGCTTCCATCTCTTGACTACTGTAAATAATAACACAGTGAACGTAGGGATGCACGTATCTTTTTGAATTAGTGTTTTTATTTTCTTCAGATAAACACCCAGAAGTGCAATTGCTGGATCATGTGACTGCTCTGATGTTTTAAAAAATCTTCACCCAGGGATATTTTTCCCCATTGCTTTTAGAGAGAGAGGAAGGAAGAGAAACATCGATTTGGTTGCCTTCCATATGCACCCAAGGCCGGGCATTGGACCTGCAACCTAGGTATGCGCCCTGACCAGGAATCGAACCTGCAACCTTTTGGTTACAGGATGACACTCCAACAAACTGAGCCACACTGGCCAGGTCACCCACTTTTAATTTTTGGAGGAAACTCCACACCGTTTTCTGTAGCGGCTGTGCCGATTCTCAACCCCGCGCTTGTGCACCGTGGGCGGGACCTTTCCCTCCACACCCAGCCGCTCGCGTGTTGTTTGTTGGTGCACCGACGGCCACTCTGATGGAGAGGCGAAGTCTCATGGTGGTTTTGACTCACGTTTCCCTGATCAGGTGAAGGTGAGTGTCTTTTCATGTCCCTGCTGGCCATCCGTACGTCCTCTTCACTGAAATGCCTACTCAGGGTCTCTGCCCCTTCTTAAATTGGATTGGGTTTCTTTTGTTATTGCATAGTTCTAGGTTTACACCCTTGCAATTGATGATTTCAATCTTAAATTTACTGACGCTTGTTTTGTGGCCTCATGGGGACTATCCTGGAAAATGTCCCATGTGCACTTGAAGTAAACGTGTATTTGGCTGCTTTTGGGCAAAATATCCTAAAAATATCAATTAAGTCCATCTGGTCTAATGTGATATTTAAGGCCAGCCTCCTTGTTGATTTTGTCTAGAACAGGGGTGTCAAACTCATTTTCACCGGGGGCCACATCAGCCTCATGGTTGCCTTCAAAGGGCCGAATAACTTTAGGACTGTGTAAATGTAACTACTCCTTCACTGTTAAGTGAGAGCTCGGTGCTGCTGCCTGGTAGAAACGAGGTGCCGGGCCAGATGAAACAGGGCGGAGGGCCGGATTCGGCCCGCGGGGCTCGTGTGTGCCACCCGTGCTCCAGAGGATCTGCCCACTGATGACGATGGGGTGTTAAAATGCCTGCCATTACTGCATCAGTGTTGATCTCTCTCTCACATGTCCATCAGCATTTACTTTATATATTTAGGTGCTCCTATGTTGGATGCATAGGATTTACAAGTTATTTCCTCTTGTTGGATTGATCCCTTTATCATTATGAAATGTCCTTCTTTGTCTCTTGTTATAGCCCTTGGGTTTTTTTTTTTTTTAAGATTTTATTTTATATTTTTAGAAAGTGGGAAAGGGAGCAATAGGGGGAGAAATATTGATGTGAGAGAGAAACATCAATTGGTTGCCTCTTGCACACACCCCAACTGGGGACTGAACCCCAAACCCAGACATGTATGTGCCCTGACTGGGAATTGAACTGGTGACCTTTTGCTTTGCAGGATGATGCCCAACTAACTGAGGCACACCAGTCAGGGCTACAGCCCTTGTTTTATTATATTTATTTATTTTTTAAAGATTTTATTTATAATTTATTTTTAGAGAAAGGGGAAGGGAGTGAGAAAGAGAGGGAGAGGCATCAATGTGCAGTTGCCTTTCATGCGTCCCCACTGGGGACCCATCTGGCAGCCCAGGCATATGCCTGGACTGGGAATCGAACCAGTGACCCCCTGGTGTGCAGGCTGCACCCCATCCCCCCAGCCACACCAGCCAGGGCTTCTTTCCTATATTTTCTTATTCATATTTTTTTCCTTTTTTACTTAAGACCCTTTAATATTTCTTTTAATACTGGTTTGGTGGTGATGAACTTCTTTAGCTTTTTTTGACTGCAAAGCTCTTTATCTGCCCTTCTATTCCTAATGATAGCTTTGCTGGGTAGAGTAAGCTTGGTTACAGGTCCTTGCTCTTCATCACGATGACTATTTTGTGCCAGCCCCTTCTGGCCTGCAAAGTTGCTGTGGAACAATCAGCTGAGAGCCTTATGAGACTCCCACATAGGTAACTGACTGCTCTTAAAATTCTTTGTCTTCAACCTTTGGCATTTCAATTAGGCTGTGTCTTTGTGTGGGCCTTTGTTCGCAACTCTGTGCTTCCTGGAATTGTACGTCTGCTTCCTTCCCCGGGGTACGGGGTTTCCCCTCACAGATTTTCAGTACCCCCGTCCCTCCTTCTGGTCCCCTGTGCTGCAGATGTTGGTGTGCCTGGTGCGGTCCTAGAGGCCTCTTAAACTACCCTCATTTAAATTTTTTTTTTTCTGTTCCAGTTGGGTATTTTCTCCTAGTTTATCTTACAAATTGCTGATCTGACCTTATGTCTCATCTAATCTGCTATTGATTCCCTCTAGGTATTCATTTCAGTTATTGCATTCTTCATTCTCATTGGTTCATTTTTTGTTTTCAACCCCTTTTAATGTTTACCAATTCTTTGTCGAAGTTCTGAGTTCACCTATTCCCCTAAGTTCGCTGAGCATCCTTACACAAGTGTTTTAAACTCTGAATCTGACAGGTTGTCTCCATTTCTTTTTCTTTTTTATATTTTATTTATTTTTAGAAAGACAGGAAGGGAAAAAAGAGGGACAGAAACATCAATGTGTCGTCGTCTCTCACACATGTCCTACTGGGGACCTGGCCTGCAACCCAGCCATGTGCCCTGACTGGGAATCAAACCGGTGACCCTTTGGTTTGCAGGCTGGCAATGAGCCACACCAGCTAGGTGTTTGTCTCCATTTCACTTAATTCCCTTTTTAAAAAAGACTTTATTTATATTTATAGGGGAAGGGGAGAGAAAGGGAGAGAAACATTGGTGTGAGAGGGAAACATTGATCGGCTGCCTCTTGTATACGACCTGGTTAGGGACTGAACCTGAAATCCAGGTGGGTGTCCTGACCAGGAATTGAACCAACAACCTTTCACTTTGTGGGAATTCACCAAACCAGCTGAGTGAGCCACACTGGTCAGGGCTTCATGTAGTTCTTTTTCTGGAGTTTTATCCTGTTCTTCGTTTGGGATGTTTGTCTTCTCAATTTGGCTGCCTTCCTTTGATTGTTTCTGTATATTGCGTAGATCTGCTACATCTCCTGTTCTTGACAGTGGCCTTACCTAGTAGCTGTCCGGTGGGGCCCAGTAGTGTCCTTGCTCACCTGAGCTGAATGCCCTGGGCGTGTCCGTGTGGGCTGAGTTGCCCTCCTGTTGTAGCTGGCCTTGACTGCTGCTGCAGTCAGTGGGGGGATGGGAGGGCGGGGAGTTTGACCTTGACCTTCAGGCTGACACACTGTGAAAGCTGGTCACAATACAGTGAGTTGTCGTGTGAGGGATGACTCCATGGGACAGGAGTCACTTTAGCAGGGGTCTGGTGAAGCCAGGCACTGGGTATGTTCGATCTGGAGCCTCTTGGGAGGGGCTCCAGCACAGGCCAAGTTCAGTGGCAACTTGCATCAGGCCTTGGGGCCCCTTGGTGGGAGCTATAGTGTTCTGTGGTTGGTTGCCTTTGGTACCAGGCTTGGGGTCCTCTGGGGGGCACTACAATGCAAGCCCAGGCCAGCTGCCACTCATGTCCAGTTTGTGACTGCTTAGTTGAAGCTATTTCCAAGTCAAGAATGGCTGCCACTTATGCCAAGCTTGGGGCCACCTGATGAGAGTTAAACTTTGAGTTCATCTGGGATTTGTGGAACTTTGAGAGGTCCGTACCACAAACCTAGGACAGCCACCTCTGATGTGAGGTTTGTGAACGTGGGGGGGAATGCACAGTGTGAGCCGAGGTCGGCTGCTTGCTTGTGTGGAAAAGCCGCTGGGAGCAGCTCAGGCTGGGTGAGCGAGTGGGGTGGGGCGGGGTCTCAGAGCATCCCCAAGGTGGCACGAATGGTGTTAGCCCGGTGAATGAAGAGCACAGATTTGCTGCTTCCTGAGCCAGCCAGTGGGGCTGGGGTCGGCCAGGGCTCAACAAAGGAGTACTGGTGTCCGCCAGAACTTCCATCTCCAGAGTTGTCCCACTCCCTGCCCCTGTAGCCTTGACAAAATTAGTCAATTTAGTTATTTTCCGTGTGTCCCTGGTGCTTTTGGAACAGCTGCCCCTGCGCTGGACCTTAGTGAGTTTGTGAGCGAGTGAGCCTGTTTTCAAACCCTTTAAGAAAAGCACCTGAGTCCTGGCTGGTGTGGCTCAGTGGACTGAGTGCCAGCCTCTGAACCAATCCCCTCTCTCTCTGGAAACAAATGAATAAAATAAATCCTTCCAAAAAAGAAAAGAAAGAAAACAAAAGGAAAAGCACCTCAGCCCTAGCCAGTGTGGCTCACTTGCTTGGAGCATCATCCGATAAACTGAAGGTCACGGGTTCAATACCCAGTCAGGACACATGTCTGGGTTGCAGGTTCTGGCCTGACCGGGGAACCTGTGAGAGGCAGCTGATCTATGTTTCTCTCCTTCTCTG